TTTGCTATTTCTTGTCCTAATAGAGCTAGCTGAGCATCTCGTGCCTGGAGTAGGGGTGATGTTGAACTCTTTGCTCTGCACAGCACCTGCTTTTTCTGAGCCCATAGGTTAGAGTTGCCTTTTGCTGGACCAGATTCCTGTCCCTTACTATGTGCAGGGGAGATAGGATTTCTAGTATAGCATATGTACTGCAGTACATGGAATACTGCGTATCAGAGGGTTTTCATAGTTCTACCTATGAAAACCATGAGAGAAACATCTAATCCAGTTTAACTTGTTACATGATGTTTCTTTTCTTACTATAAAAACAGTTGTAAGAATTTCAGAAAATATAGCAATGTATGCAAAGGAAAATAAAAAAAAAAAACACTTAGTAGATACACCCAAAGGACTACCAATGATATTTTGATATGTTAGAAATCTGTCTTTCTTACTGTGACTTACAGATGTTTTTACATGTACATGCACAGAGGTATGACATTGACATGTTATATGTATGTGCACAAACACAGGGTAGTTTTTAATTGCTGTTGGCTTCATTTACAAAATAACAGGGAAAGAAAGACCCAGAATGGTACCCATCTGTCTCTGTGGTAGTATGACAAAGGGCTCTGTGTTGGGGAGGAGACGGAAATAAATGGCTGATATGAACATGTGGAGAGTCAATCAAGCTTCATGAATTGACTCTCTTTCTCTGTCTTAGAATACCAGACATGGACAGTGGGAAAATTGAAGACTTGTGTGTGGTCCTGCTCTGCATGCAGAATGGAGCAAAGCCTCCATCAGACTTGGTTGTCAGCTCTCAGAAGCCGAAGCCCTCCCTCTGGGTTCTAGGCATCCTTTGGTAGAAGGCTACATTTCTTTTCTCTTTTCCTTGGCTCGTTTGCAGCTACTCAGGCTGACTTCAGGTGTAGCAGCTCTTGTTGTAACAGTGTGGAGCTGAGTGAACCCCACTGATTTGTAGGTTGTTGTAATTCTCCTCTCCCTACCAACAGTGGCTCTCCTCTGAGAAACTACACCTATGCCCATGGACATTTCTTGCCCCCCACTCCCCAAGCACCTCTCTTTTTCTTCCTTTTCATGCTTAAAGTCAATATTAAAAATCTTGGGTGCTGGAGAGATGGCTCAGTGGTCAAAAGTACTTCCTGCTCTTTGTGAGGACACAGGTTCAGTTTCCAGAAGCCTCATGGTAGTTTACAACCGTTCATAATTCTACTCTTAAGGGATCTGATGCGCTGTCTGGGCACCTGCACTTATAAGATACATGTTCTCAGGCAAAACGCTCGTAAACATTAAAGAAGAAGACGAGGAAGAGAAGGGAGGAGGCGGGAGGAAGAAAGAGGAAGAAGGAAGGAGAGAAAGAAAGAAAGTTATATACTGGTAAATTCTAAATGTGCTTAACTTATTTTATTTATATTCTGACCACACAGTGCCTCTGAAGAATTGGTTGTTTTGGTCTTGTCTGACGGAGGTTCCTGTCTGTGTTGTCAGGAGAGTCTGGTTAGATAGCAATCTGTTAATGTAACAAAACAATTGAAATAACCAACATAAAAAGAGAAAAGGCCTGCTTTGCCTTTCTTTTGGAAGTTCCAATCTAGTACATAGGTCCCATTGCTTTGGGGCTGTGGTGAGGTGGTGGTATATGTAGGAGGGGCTAATGTGGGAGGAGTTAGGAGAGGAAGAGGAAGAGTAAGGAGGAGAGGAGGAAAAGGAAGAGGAGGAGCTGGGGGAGAGGGAGAGGGAGAGGGAGAGGGAGAGGGAGAGGGAGAGGGAGAGGGAGGAAATGGAGGTGGATGTTCACGTGTCTGTAGCAGTATATGTAGGTTGGGTATTAGGTTACACTTCTGATTGTATGGGTATCTTGTTACTGATCTTTACCAAATATATAAGCCTTTGATTAATCTTTAAGCATTAGAGTCTCATCTTTCTACTGGGCCTGCGTGGGTGGTGGGATGGTCTGGGCAATGCCCAGTCTTGCGGAAACAGCATGGAAGATTGGCAGGGCCATGTCCCATGCTGGCGTCTCGTGGGTGGCAGGGCTGGTGTTTCTTTCTGGCCATTTCTAGCTGTGGCATGCACGTGGCCTCTGGCCGAGAAACATGGTGGCTGAGCTAGGCAGCGTCACCACAGCTTAGATAGTCAGCTTACCCAGAGGCTGAGTTTAAATAATAATAAACAACGGGTATGTCATGGTAGAGGTTAGTGGGCTTTTTTTCTTTTAATGATTTGTTTTAATTTTATGTGAACTCATGTTTTGCCAGCATGTGTGTCTGCGTGAGGGTGTCAGATGTCCTGAAAGTGGAGTTACAGACGTTGTGAACTGCCATGTGGTTGCTGGGAGTTATACCCAGGTTCTCTGAAAGAACAGCCAGTGCTCTTAACTTCTAAGCCATCTCTCCAGCCTGGTGATGGACATTTAAGAGGTAGCCTGTAGCACTGGACCTCTGGGACTATTTATGGCACGAGCTTCCATTGCTCTTGGTTTGAGAGAAAGGTTGACCTTCTGCCTTCTTCTGTCTTCCTGTCCTTCTGTCCTTCTATCCAAGGAGCTCCATGGCAACACACTGTGCAAAGCTGCCTCCCACAGAGGGCCACTCTGTGTTTCTAATGCACATACAGAAGTTGGTGAGACTTGTGACCTGCAGCATGATGATTTGATCCGTGTAAGGTGGAGTGATCAGACCCGGTGCTTAGCATCTTCACTTCCTTAAACTGTGCTTAGGTGTTTGATGGAAAAGTCGCAGCCCATCAGTGGTACTGCAGTGCTCACGGGCAGCTGGAAGGTTGGCTCGCCTATGTGCTTCAGGACCACATAGTTCATTCTTTGTGTCCAATTACGCTTTTTCTTAGAATTGCACATTTCTTTTAAAAATATTAAATTGTAAATTTTAAAAACTGAAAATCGTTTTTTTTATATATTTAATTACAGCTTCCCCTCCCTCAACTGCTCCCCTCCTCCTCGTGTACCTAAGTCCGTATCCTTTTTTGGTCTCTCCCCTCCTCTCTCTTTTGAAAACAGGCTTCTAAAAAAATAATAATAAGATGAAGACAAACAGATCCACAGACACAAAGGGAGCCGAAGACAAAGCATAAGAACATATGTAGTCACAGAGACACACACATCCCCACATATAGAAATCCCACAAAACCCTAAACTGGGAACCATACTATATTAGCAAAAGACCTGTAAGGTTGAAAAAAATGCCCAGACTTAAGCTGCATTATGAGAGACCTTCCCCCTCCCCCCAAATTTCAAAAACATTATATTATCTACTGCTGGGTATGGTTCCTGCCCTTACAAGTGGTTTGTATATTCAGTGAGATTCCATTGGAGAAAACTAACTTTTCTTTTGTAAGCAGTGATCAGTTGGAGATAGCTTCTGAATTAGGGATGAGGTTTTGTGTCCACTTCACCGTTTATCCCATCTGGCTTAGGCCTGTGTAGGCCCTGTGCCTGCTACCGCAGTTTCTGTGAGTTCATATGTGCATCAGCCCTGTTGTGTCCAGAAGGCCTTGCTTTCTTGGTGTTTTCTATCTCTGGCTCTTACAATCTTTTTGCTGCCTCTTCCATGGAGTTCCCTGAACCCTGACAGGAGGGATCAGATGGTCCCTCTCTACCAACCCCTGTCAACCCATAGCCATCTATTCTATTCCGCCCAGTCTCTTATTCTGTGTCTAACCCCTGTAGTTATATAGATTATAGCTCTACTTACTGAAAACTTGTTAGCTAACATCCATGAATATGCAAATACGTACCACAGTTGTTTTTTGGGCCTGGGTTATCTCATGCAGAGTAATTTTTGCTAGCTCTACCCACTTACCTGTGTGTTGTGGTAATTATTTAAAACGGCCTCTGGTCAAGCCTAAGCTTAACCAGAGCTACAGCAGCTCTGCCAATCTCCCACGCTGTCTCCGAAAGGCAGGGCATTGCCCAGACCATTCCGCCATCCATGCGGGCCCAGTAAGATAATGAGACTCTAATTCTTATAGATTAATCAAAGGCTTTATATGTTTGATAATGATTAATAACAAATGCCCATACAGAGAGAGTTGTATCCCAATTAGCTAACCTAATTATAAGTTTAAAAGTTGTTCCCCACGAGTGCTCTCCATACCTGTGTGGTTCTCCATCCTCCTACATCTATGCCCTCTCTAGCTCCTCTTTTTCCTTTTTTCTCTTCCTCTCCTTACTCCTCCCACATTAGCTCCTCCTACACCTGTGAATTGCATTTTTTAATTTGTTGAGTAATTAATAGTCTGTTGTACAAAGAGACCACTTTTTCATTATCCATTCATCTGCTGAGGGACATCTTAGTTGTTTCCAATTTCTGGCTATTGTGGAGAAAGCAGCATTGAACATGGCTGGGCGAGCGTCTCTGTGGTAGGATGAAGCATCCTTTGGTTATATACTCAGAGTGGTACAGCTGGTTCTTGAGGTTGATCAGTTCACACTGCCACATGGCTTTCCCTAGGGGCTGTATAAGTTTACACTCCCACCACCAATGGATGTGTGTACCCCTTGCTCTGTATCCCCACCTGCATGAGCTGACATTTCTTTTATCCATCTTGGCCTTTCTGACCAGTGTAAATGAAACTCAAGGTAGTTGTCAGGTTGCATTTTGATACTTGATATCCAGTCTTGTCTATCCACTCCTTCATGCTTTTTTATGTGTTTTTTTCCCCCTTGTGCACTTAAAATTTAAAATTTGAGTGATTTCATAGACAGAAGAAGTATTGGAGCTTTTATATTTGCAAAATGTTCACAGTTGAGCATGGTGCTGCAGGGCTGTGATTTGATTGTGGCACTTTGGATGCAGAGAAAGAAGATTATACTGTTTAAAGCCATTCTAGGCTATGGAGGGTTTCCAGGACAGCCCTCCATAGAGATCTCCAGTAACCCGAAGGAAAACGCACTCGCCAACAAAAGAGAAGCCGCTCACAGGCAGCATCATTATGTGGCCTTTCTGTTTACATGTGTTCTTGTTGTATTGTCTTTACAGTCGAAATCAGCTGTCTGCCCTGCCTGCCTGCCTGTGTGGTCTGCCTCTCAAAGTCTTAATCGCAAGTAACAACAAGCTTGGATCACTGCCTGAAGAGATAGGTCAGCTCAAACAGTTAATGGAGTTGGTATGTTTCTGATTTCTAAGATGCTCTTGTTTGTTAACTGACTTTGGAGGTCCTCTGAAAGACTTTGTTACAGAAAGACAAGGAGACGTCTGTGATCATCTTCTCCCATTGCTCTAACAAAATACCCGAGACTGGGAATTTTATACAACAGATTATTTAGATCACAGTTTGGGAGGCTGAAAGTATGTGATCTGGTTGGCCATTGCGGAGGGATTTCCTCCCTCATAGCTGATAGCATCATGGTGGGAGCAAATGTGTGAGGGAAAGAACACATGACTAGACAGGAAGCCAGGGAGAGGGAGGGACCATTTTTGCTCTTTTATGATGATTTACTCTCATTGGTCCTTACTCGGATCTTGTAAGCACTGTGATAACCCTGCCTAAGAGATGCCCCAGTGCCCCAATCACCTTCTGCTGGGCTCCATCCCTTAAAAGATCCTACTACCTCCTAACACCACCATAGGCTCCACCCCTTAAAGGATGCCTGTGGTGGTTTGAATATGCTTGGCCCAGGGAGTGGCACTATTAGGAGATGTTGCCTTCTTGAAGTAGGTGTGGCCTTGTTGAAGGAAGTGTGTCACTGTGGGCTTTAAGCCCCTGTCTGGAAGTCAGTCTTCTGTTTGCCTTCAGAACAAGATGTAGAACTCTCAGCTCCTCCTGCACCATGCCTGGCTGGAAGCAGGGTTCTGGGATCCTGTAAGGAGTTTGGAATGTCTAGAGCAATGCTGTCTCCAGTTCTGCTGTGTGTTCCTTATGCAGTGAGCTGAACTTTGCTGAGGTCTCCTGTGTTGTTCCCAGCTCTTGTTCTACACCTTACCACCTCCACAGTCCCTTCTCCCCCATGCCTGCACGTTGTAGAATGTCAGAGTGCCTCATGTTGGAGAAGCTGTAGTCCAGCTCTTGACCTCTTGACCAAATGATGGAACCCAGGCCAGCGAGATAATGACATATGGAAGTTTCACCTCTCATAGTAACTTGAGCTATAACATCTTCATCCATGGCACTGTCCAGTAGACATCCAAGACACACAAAAAATGTGGTTTAAATGTAGTATGGTCATGTTTAAACAGTTAAACAAGAGAAGGTCCTCACTGTAAATTATAATTAATTCTAGATAGGTAAAAATTATGACCCTAGTATGTATATAAGAGAAAACTATCGAGGTGGGACTGTTTGTGTCCTAGTGTTTGTACTAGGCCTTTGCTACCAAGTCCAGCATGCATCATGCAGGGGTCATGCTCCACACATAGGATCAGCCACACACTGGTGCTCAGTGCCTACACGGCTGAGCCGCCACTTTGATGTGCCAGCTCTGCAGCTTTGGTGTGTTCTGTTCTCTTGTCCCCTGGGTCTGGGCAAGTGTGCTTTTGGTAAAATGTATTTTGAGGGGGATGCAGTGAGCTGGTTCAATAGGTAAAGAAACTTGTCACCAAGCCTGATAACTTGAGTTCAGTCCCTTGGGCCCATATGGTGGAAGGAGAGAACTGACTCCCACAGTTGTCCTCTGACCTCCACATGTGGTCTGTGGCATGCATACACACTAATAAAAAATACACAAGGATACATGTTTGACATTTATTTGTGAAGCAGGCAAAATACACTGTTGACGTTACTTAACCATGGAGAAGTGTATGGCCAGCCTTGATTAAAGGTCATAGACTAAAAAAAGATTATTTTCCATCCATCCTCATTTATCTTTGATGTAATTCTATTTATTTATTTATTTATTTATTTATTTATTTATTTATTTATTTAAATAGTAGTGTTACTATAGGTAACGGTGCCACATCAAATTATTTTTAGTTTCAATTGGGGAGAGAGTTCCCTGGAGAGCCAGATATCATTCTTGAGCAGAAGGCTTTTGTTTTTGTTACAGATTACTAATTTGGTTTTTTTTTTTTTTTTTTAAGTAAAGTTGAGCACTCCCTGGAGCATTCAGAAAAGTCACCATTTAAGGCTTGAGTGCTGAGGAAGTCACTCCACCCACTGGACTCCTGAAGCATTGTTTGTTGGCTGGTTTGGAAAAGCTGTTTCAAACACTTTCATATCAGAGTGTTCTGAATAGAATCATACCCACTTCTCAGTGTACATGAACATTCCCGAGTTAATGTCCACTTTAGAAACAAAGGCCAAATACCTTAGCCATCAGAAAAACGGTTGTTCTTTCTTACTTTTGCAAGGAAGTCAAGCTGCAGAACATTGTCTTAGCCTTGCCATCACAACACAACTACCTTAGAGTCTTAAGACAAACAGTGTCCCATGTCAGCCATCACCCCGCACAGCCAGTGTGCCACACCTGTGCTCCCGTCTCCCAGTACAGCCATCATCCTCACACAGCACAGCCATTGCCCCACCCAGCCAACACCCTGGACACCCAACACCTAGCCATTCTTCTTCTTCTCAGCCTGTGTGCATTTTCCATCTGATGCAGGCTCTGGTGCAGGGCAATTGATGAAATCTTAACTCTGTATCTGATCTGTTATAGTCACCACTGATGAGACAGTCTAGAACTTTCAGACCCCCTGGCCAACTCTGAATAGTTTCCTTACCATCTCAGGAAGTGTATCTTGCAGCTTAGATATTGTGTGTGAGTGAGTGCTGCTCTGTGGGAAAAGGGAAGAGAGAGGAGGCTAACATTGACTTAGCATTTATTTCTATTAGACTATTAACTACGACACTTACCTGTATCATTTCATAAAGCCTTAAAATAACCCAGCAAGGTGGGTATCATGTTGATATGTTACAGTCAAGAACTGGTTTTGTAGTTCCTTACCTAAGGGGATGGAGCTGCATGTCTGATTAAAGCCCACACCAGTCCTGAGCTCAGTGTGTGGAACTTGCTTGGCATGTGTGCTTCGAGAGCTTTCACTCTTAGAACTACAAAGATAGGTAGGTAGACAAACAGTTTGATCTATCGATTAATGATAGATAGGTAGATAGATAGATAGATAGATAGATAGATAGATAGATAGATAGATAGATAGAAAATAGTTGACACTTGAGTATAGTTGTTACTTGAGTATAGCTGATAGGTGACAGATATATATCTCTATCTCTGTCTTGTCTGTCTGTCTGTCTAGTCTAGTCTAGTCTAGTCTAGTCTAGTCTAGTCTAGTCTAGTCTAGTCTAAAGCACAAGGCAGCCCTCCCTCATCACCTAGACTGTAGATAATCCTCTAGTTTAGAAGGATTGTGGTTTCTGGAGCTTCTTAGTTCAGTTTGCCATGACTTTCTTATTAAAGTTGTGACACACCACAACTTGCAGATGACCGGGAGACATTCTCCGTGATGGCTCTGGACAAATGGACATGTTTGAATGTTTCCTTGCAGTGTAGAACTAGCTCAGGTTGTGAGGATCTGTAGCTCTGTGTAGACTAAATTTCATTTAACTCATTAAAACCCTTGGAACTTGTTGAAAACGGTTTGTGTGTATGTGCGTGTGTGCGTGTGCATTTTCATGCTTATAAATGTATTTGGAGGCCAGAGATCAGTCTTGAGTGTCTTCCTCAATTGATTCTCCATTCATATATGTGTCTCTCTGTGTGATTGTGTGTGTACAAGTGTTGGTATGGTAGTGCACGTATGTGTGTACACATAACATATGTGCCTGTTCCCATGCATGGGGAAGCCAGAGAAGGATGTTCAGGGTTCTCTGTCACTCTCTGGCATATTCCCAGGAGACATGATCTCTCAGAAAACCTAGAACTTGCTGTATTTCGGCAAGAATAGCTGAACAGCAGGCCCCAGGAGTCCCCTTTCAGCCTTCCACGAACAGTGTGGGGATGTTAGACACACAGAATCACAGCTGGCTGAAATTCACTCAGGAGATCTGGCTCAGGTCCTCATACTGCTGCTCCAAGTGCGTGTACTGAGCCCAGACTCCAGTCCTTCTGCTTTAGTTTTGAGGTAGGATCTCTCACTGATTGAGCTAAGACTAGCTATTCAGAAGCTCCAGGAATCTTCTAGTCCCTCTTCCTTCCCCCAGGGCTGGGATTACAGGCAGCTTCTTCTGTTCCCAGCTTTTTAACATAGTTGCTGGAGAGACAAACTCTATGGTCTTTCAAGGGTTTCACCGCTGAGCCATCTCTGGAATTTTTTTTTTTTTCTGTACAATCCTGTTGAAAAATGAGGTGTGTCTGGTGACAGGTGCTGTATCAAGGACACATATTATAGCTGACTGGCAGCTGTGAAGAGGAGCATGCTAACAGCTCAGTAAGGTTGGGTCCTTTTATGGATGAGCCCTTTTCCAAGGACCCAGGAGTCCCACACTGGTGCCGTGTGCTGAGTGGCTTACTGGCCTTGCTGGACTTGTTTGCTTTCTCTCATGTCCTCACCCACTCCCTCACTGGGTGAGTATCCTGTCTGCCATGCAAACGAACAGAGGGCCTGACTTAGGAGCCTGCCTTTATAGCCAGAAAGCCCACCAGGTTGGATCTAGTTATGTTAGCGGGGAGGTGCATTCTTAGGCCCTAACTAGACACACAGGTTTTTTATTTACTTTTCAACTAGCATTTGGCTGTGTGGGGGATTTGAGCTAAGAGCCTGATGACAAGCTTCTGAGGAGAGTCTTCCCCCAGGATTTTATGCCTAGTGTTCTTGTCTCTGTGGTAGGTGTGGGATTGTGTGCCAGCGTGTCTGCTGTAATCAGTTGTCCATTAGTGGTCTCTGGAAATGCCTTTGACCTTTCTGGTTTCTGTGGAAACCCAGGAGTTACTTAGGGCCTCTCTGTGGCTTCCATTTCTGCCTTTATTATCAAGAACAGGGAGTGGAGCCTGTGTTTGTGGGTATATGGAGCGGTCTGAGGCATAGGTTCACAATGGAAAGGCAAGAGTGGGAGGGGATCATCGATCACATCAAAGGCTGCTTCTTTGAACGGTTCAAGCTTAAGTTAATATACATTTTTTTCCAAGTTCTGACTATAGGTATTGAAGGTTGTTTTATGACTAAGAAATGAAAATTAACATTACTGTGTACCACTTAGTGTTTTCATTAACTTCTTGGGTAGTCAGTGGATTTTCCTGATATAGAGAGAAAATTAGAAGTATTTCATACCTATTTATTAATTTATTTATTTGTGTTTGTTTGTTTGTTTAGTGTGTGCAGATTAGGAAACTTTCGAGAATGAGTCCCCTTCTTTGTGGGAGTGAGGTCCCTCCTTGTGGTTTCCAGGAGTCAGGGATTGAGCTCAAGGCCTCGGGCTTTGCAGAGGGTGACTTTGGTCAGGTGACCGATTCATCACTCTGGTGCTCATCCCTCCTTTTTCTGTGAGCACACAAAGAGTCAGACACTTGCCTAAGGTTGTAAATGAGACATACAACAGGCATTTCTACAGAGAGGTGTGGTTCTGTGCTGGTTGGAGGCTGTTGATAATTTGCTTTTGCACCAATTACCTAAAGACTTAATTTTCTTACAGACATTCTTCTGCTGGTATTACACCACTCCATCCATCCCTGAGTGTGACTTAAATCATAGTGTTAGGATCTAAACAATAGAGTTGGGTTAGCGAGTCGATGAAAAGCTTCTATTTGAGTGTTTAAATTGTTATAATTAGATACGCTTCTCTATCAGGAAGAATTCAATCAGCAAATATTTGTAACAGTTTCTCATGATTCTTGTGTTGTACAATTGTGATGTTACAATGTTGAATGCATGGTGATTTGTTATGTTATTCTTGAAGACATAGTAGCTTGGGGCTAATAGAAAATTCTGAAGGAATTAATTTGAATATTCTAGTAAGTAAATGAATGTGGAATTTACAATCTGATATTCTTCACTAATTGCAGACATATAAGGCATTGATTGCTATTTGTTTTAAAATTTATTTTTCTAAGTATTATCTTTTCTGAATAATCTTTTAAAAAGCCCTGTACCTTATTTAGACTAAATTTGTACAGAAATGTTCTAGAGAATGAGGCCATTCTAGAAACATTGCTTGTGCATTTTCAAGACCTCTTCAGACATGGAGATAATTATTGCTTTTTCACACCCCTCCTTCTGCTAATTAGACATAAGTACCCATGGGGTTTATTTTTATGATGAAACTCATAACCTCTTTAAAATTTGGTTAGGTTCAGAGACTCCTGGGAAATAGGATTTGCCCTGTTTTTACCATAGTGAATATACAGTGGTGGATAGCCTGTCTCTCCCTTATGTAATAGATTTGCTTGGGAGATCTATTCCTATTTTATTATTATATTATGCCTATTATATTATTGGGGGGCACATAACTAGTAGGAACGTAGAGTATTATTACTATAACTGCCCCTTGCCAGATACTCCTCAAAATCCAAACAGGCCTCTGTGCTTATATTTGTCCATAGGTGTCCTGTTTCTTAGATGAAAAAATTGGGTGTCTATCAGATGCAGCATTGTCTTGTGTGTAGTAAGTACATGCTGACTTTACCGGCATGCACTTAAATACAGCCTGCAGGAGTTGGTTTTGTTTGTTAAGGCCATGGTGTTAGGGGTTTGTGCTGGGAAGAATCATCTTGGCTTTAGGGGGTCCATCATACCTCTAATGATGCTGCCATTAACTGCGGACAGCTCTCTCTCTCTCTCTCTCTCTCACACACACACACACAGAGAGAGAGAGAGAGAGAGAGAGAGAGAGAG